TATATATATATATATATATAACTAAATATATTCTTCATTTTATTTGATTTAGTTTTATACATAATTTATACATTTATTTAATACAAAATCCATTCCTGTGATGTACAAAGTAAGCTCCTTTCACAGGCAAATTATCATCTGATTATTCAAAGCGCGGCAATTTACCTGTCAACGCAGGCATCAATGATTTTATGCAACAATGGATGTCATGCCGCGCGACAAGGACTCTAATAGATATTACGGCTCAATGTCTGCAGTGTCTTATGCATTCCGATACGGAGTCGTGTATCAAGGCATTATTAGATACCAGTGTGATACACAGTCCGTATTTCGATTGGGTCGTTGCTCATGTAGGGAGCTGCTTTCCAAACACTGTGATCACTAGGGTGTTATCGTGCGGATTGAAAGACTTCTGTGCCATGGGCTATGAACATAACGTCAAGAATCCAAAGTTAAATTCTGTTGTTGGCATATTGGGACATTTAGCGGGTAGCCATTTCCAAGATATTAGAAAAGCGCTATTAGACTTATTTGAGGTAAGCTTATTATATAAGTTTTACTGTCATGGTATACATATTTAAGTTTATGTATTATACATAATATATTATATATATTTTTTAGTGGAGTTTGAAAGAAGATGTAAGTCTTGACGAAGATACCAAAAAGCAGAAACTAGCCACCGTACCATTTCTTTTAAATCTGGCTTCACTTTCTCAGACTCTTTTGAAAGCAATAACTAGCGATGTGTTACAAATATGTATGTTTTTAATAGAAATTACATTTGAAGTAAATATAATGTTATCATTACAATTAAATATAACTATGAAATAATGTTTGTTATAGTGAGGCCAGACATCATACCGCGACTGGCATTGTTTGCAGCAGATTGGTGTAAATACTTTGATAATCAACCAGGGGCCTTAATGGACTTGACGGTACACTTGATATTAGGATGCGAACAAGGCGCATCACAAATAATCAATGTACTACTAGATATAAGTTTAAACACGAGCAACGTCGGCTATCACAGCGTCAATGCGGCGCAAAATGTGAAAAACATTTGTCGGGAGATATTAGAATCAATTCTACAGGAGATCGACCTCTTATTGAGAACGCACGGACCACAATCCACGAATATTCATCTGCTGAATTCTATCAAACAGGAGATATTGTTGATAGTACCAATGTTGCTAAATCCAAATCCACTGCGTGTGCAAACGGCTGTCAGGCTATTATGTTTTCTCAGAAGTCAAAATCCGAACATAGTCATCTCCACAGTATCCTACATGTTGATGAAGGCGCAAACAATGTTCCATCTTGCGGCCTTAATACGTCTTATCACTAATAACGTTGTACAATTTCCTACGAGTAAATCCATAACTGAAAATATGCTTGCTGGTCACGATTACTTTACGCAGGTCTTGGAGCAAGCACTCAGAGAAATAAACTATAAAAACGTGATAGAAAAGGAGGAATCGAAACAGTTATTCAAAAATCTTATTATAATGTTGAAGCAAGTGTCAACAGTTTAAAATAGTTAAATATTTTATAGTTTAATTTAATAATTAGAGTCTCTTTTTCTATTTTACTTAGATGGGAAAAATCAAATAAGGTGGAGATATTACAGTCACAGATGATTAGCAGAGCCCTCAGAGCTAATTTATATCAAATATCTTGTTTATTAATGAGAAGCGATGATTTTGACTTGGCGAATGATATCATTACTCTCTTGGATCTGTTAAGCACATCTGAAAAAGATTATATTCTCGATATGGAACTTATGCTGAAATTAACGAGGGCGATCATACAGTATTTCTTTTTATGCATTGCTCAAATTGGTAATTAGAATTCTATAAAAAGCCTTATTCTATTTTATATAAAAGACTTTATTCTTTTTTAAGTAAAAAAGTGTATGATAATGCAATTTCTTTTTTAGATATTATAAAAAAAGAACAAGGAATAAAGATGGTATGTCATTTACTGAAAGATTTGACATGTCATTCTGCGTCCGCACGTGTATTGGCTCTCAGAGAGATACTAGGAAATAGTATCAATAATGAGCAGGCCAAATATTTTGGCGCAAAGGAGAAATTCGAGCCTCATTTTGAAGAGATGTTATTATTACATCAGAATCACAAACAGGTATAAAAATATGATAAAAGTACATTTAAAATATGCAGAATATGTTTTGATACATAGTTAACAATTATTTGCTATTTTACTAATGTTGTATAAGATCAATTTGAGTTAATATGTAAATTTTTAAATGATCTCATCCTAGGTGACGAGTACCATGTTAGCGCAGCGACATTCGTCGGTATTTCACGCTGGTGTGATAGGACATGGCCCACGAAGACTTCCGCCGGAAAATTCGATCGATAAGGAAACCATTACTTTAAACAAAATGTTGCTAATAGACGTTATAAAAGTAAAGAATCCAATAAAGAGTTCATTTAGTAAATCTATAAATTTTATATTAAATACTCTTAACATTCAATTCGAATTATTTTCAGGCCTGTTGCAGCAATCAGGAATCAGATCGATATCCAGTTAATTTGGATGCTTTGACAATGGTCAGTTTGTTGTTAGTTGAATTGGTATCGCCTGATGTTATGTACAATGGTCTACCATGGCCTGACGAAGAATTTACAAAGGTATTATTTATGTTAATTGTTAATATGTTAATTTTCAATTAGTATCATAATTAACTTATTGATTTTTTAACTTCTTAATTGGAGGTTTTTCTCTGAAACCCGATACATTACCACGATTTATTTAGATTATTCAAATAATTTTGGATTAAATTTATAAACTTTGTTTCTGTCAGAGTAGAATATTTTTCCTAAATTTTCCTAATATTGTACATGAAGAATGGCAACAAGTTCAAGATTCATTAACTTTAATGACATGAACTAACCGAATCTTTTATTAACAAACAACTATGACATTGAGCTATGCATCATCTCTAGCTAGTTGTTATTTAACAGAATAATTTTTTATTACTGCAGGTCACAATAGAAAGAGATTTACAAATCCGTCGCAAATTCAAGGATGTTCCTCTGTTGTGGACGCTGTTAGAATTGACTGCTTGGTATAGGCCGGCATTAGCGTATTGTTCCGTTTTACTAAGAGGCATTACCGCGACTGTCATGGCTAATTGGAATACAGAGGAGGGCATTTCGCTTGTCAATATAATGGCACTCGGTCAATTATTACCACCACCGCTGGCGAGTATTAGGGACATACTACCTGTTTTACAGCCTCATCAGGTATGTTTTCATTTCTGCAACATTATTTCAATTAAATTCATACATTCGGATTATTTATATTTTGCAAATGGCTCTGATTGCAGATAAATACAATAATGAGGGAATGTTTGTGGGCGTACATGCGTGAAAATGTGCCATCTCCAGCGCTATTTAC